AATCTGTCTAAGTCAATAGTGAGCTACACTACTTTTGAATTTGTTTCAACAACAACCGTTCGTTTCCTAGAAGAAGAATAACTGTTTTATTTGTCTAAAATCTCTAAGAAGTTCATTTTTTAAGTTGTCCCATTTGTGCTTCTTGCCCTCAGATCTTAATGAAAAGAATAAAATAAGCTTTTTCTTCATCTTGGTAAATGGCAGAGCCCAGTCTTAGAAGGCAGTACTTTCCTTCAAGACTGACAATGATTGTTTTCCTACTTTTGGCTACTTTAGGTCAACAATGAAATGTAAAATAATAGCAAATATAGGTACTAATATGTTGAGACTCAGACAGAGATTTGATCCTTAACAAACAGGTGCAATAAATTTGTTTGAGTGGAGTTGCCATATATTGACGTCATAAGAGCCAGGGCCCTGAGCAGATCTGGCAGATACACTGGCCCTCCGAGGGTCATTTACAGGAAGAAGGGGATTATCAAAATGGAAGCAGGGGGACAAACTGCTGGAAAGCCTTGGAAGGCAAGAAAAGAGTGATGAGAAGGAGGAGCAGGAGAATGTGAGGAGGAGGCTGGGAGCCTGATAAGATCATCACCATCAAGGCCGCGTATGTGCAGCCCCACAGCCAGAAAGAGAAGCCGCACGGTTAACGACGGCGGCGGGTTCACTGGAGCATCCGCTTTCTGATGAAATGACCTGAATCCTATTCTGAACAACAGCTGCAGAATCACACAGCCAAGACCAAATCTGTATTCATTTCTGCAAGAATATCACCACGGCGATATGAAGCTTCTCAGCAAGTGTCTGGCAATACGTCACTCTGATGTTGGATAGTTATGGAGACATGGCTGAAAAATGTTGATGATGTTTAGCAAAAGTATTCTGTTCCCTTTAGAGCTGTGAAAAAAACCCAACAGATTTATCATAGGAGAGGGAGTTAAATAAAATCAAACACTGAAACCTTTAAAGTTGTAGCTCTGCACAACAAAAACTGCATTTCTTTTTTCCATTTTACTTCAGTTCCCCTTCTTGTTCTGTCCATTAGAGAATATTCTGATTCAGTTCAGTTTACAATAGCCGCTATTTAAAATGGCCCTAAGGAAACCCAACTGACTGCATCAAGTATAAAGTCAGATTTTTGCCAAAATGGCACAAATAGTCATTCAAGTAGATTTATTTCAAACAGAAGCAGATAAAACACCCTCCGAGCACGTCTTTGCGCCTGCAGATTTAGACCATGAGACCCCAACAACTCACACGCATTAATCCATGCTCCTTCTGTGCTCGTAGTTCCTTGTATGTGGATCTAGTTCTCCACAATCATGTCAACTTCTGTCCCTTTAAGGCTGAAGAGATGAAACTGCCTGTGATTCAGAAAATGCCACCTATTGAGACGGTACTTCTTCTGTGTTTAGCTAGAAACAGGATTTCATTCAAGCCTCCCTTTTCTTAGTATAAACAGGGAAGCTAACGTTAGCTACACTCAGACGGAGTTCCAAATTTAACATGAACCATTTTAGAGCATTTAATTTAATGACGAATTCCCTTGATCAATTTTTAACTCCTTACTGTAGGAGAACAGTGATTAGCTTGAAGATGGTTTGTTAGTAGACTTGTTAGTAGACGTTCTCATGTACTCGTGAATCGTCATCAGCCTCAGCCCTAGTACTATTCCAATTTCCAAGAACACAAGCCCGAGAATGGACAAAGCCCTCCCTTTTTACCCAGCATGCATCAGAATATTAAAGATATAGTGCATTATTTTTTGCAGATTTTTAAAAAGACCCACCTTCTCCACCGGTGGCAACTCTGTACCCGCTCCCAAGAGTGAATGCCTAATGAACGTGTGCGAGAGCATGCACAAGTCCATTTCTCCTCGTGCACGCCCTGTTTAAAAGTTGCTGTTCTTATAGCTCATACAAGGTCCGCTCTAACCCCTAAATCCCTCAATCACTATATAGAGTGGGGACTATATAGTGGACTGTATAGTGAACTCAGTTAACTGACCGTTTGGACAGATGATCACTGCTTGAGCCGAGAACATTAGACTTTTAAGCTTCACTATATGGCCTATTTACCGATTTAGTCCATAATTTTAAAAAAGTTCTGATGTCGAGGGGACCACAGACCTCCGAGGCTAACCGCAGCTAGGGCCAACGTTAGCCCTTCTGCAGCAGCCCTCTCTCAACATCTTTATTCCCCCACTAAGTTAAAGAAATAATCATTTATTATTTTTTACAGACTACTAATAACAGGAGGTGAAATGCAGCTCCAGACGAGTCAAGCTTGTGGTGATGTCATCAGTACGCCTCTCTTCCAGTTGACCCAGTTTTATGCTGCGTGCTCAGATTCCAAAACATAGATTCATTTTGTGACACTAGGTGGGTTTAGCGCCCCTAGTGGCTAAAATGTGCACAGTGTTGCTTTAACATGAGGGGAAGGGAAAGTCAAAGAGTTTTGAAATGGGAAGAGAAAATTATCAGTAGGTAAACTAGGATTTTTTTTTTTTTTTATGCCTTAAAGGGTGAGTTCTGTTTTATTTTTGTTTAGTTAAAGAAAATGATTTATTAGTAAATCTATTTCTGAACGTATGGCTGACAAAAGGCCTTTTTTGGTTAACAAGCTGACCAGCTCTATTTTATGGTTTTCACTTGCTAGATTATCTCCAGGTTTTATACAACAATTAGTAAATAAATTAATGCCTTTTAAAGCTCAACAAGTATCCATGAGTCAGTCTCTCTCTCTCTCTCTCTCTATATATATAAATATATATATATATATATATATATTTATTTTTTTTTTTTTTATATACACACACACACACATACACATGCGGCAAAATCCTTCATCATCTTCATCTTTATCATCAATAGGCTCCTGTTGAAATTAGCATGTTCAAAATCTCTAGCTTTTTCTCTGCCTCGAGCTTCTTTTCCAAACATACCGCTTTACGATCACGCGGAAGCAGTTCCATGCAAATATATCGCAATATATCTGACAAAATTTGTATAAATGTTTTTTTTATTTTTTTATTTTTTTTAAATAAAGCATTTTAAATGCCACAATAATCACATTTAATGAATTTTAATGCCAATTAAGGCCTTAATTTAAAAAAATAATAATTTTATGATTTTTAATGACCTGCGGAAACCCTGATCTCAATTCAGACATTTCATTGTGGAAATATGATGTTTATTATTCCAATACTATGTGAATAATAGAAGTTTTAATGCACTGTTTGAGCTAATTGATCATGTGGACTCATTAAAGCCCCTTTTGCTGCATCAAAATTAGATCAACAGAAATTACAACAAGAACTGAGAAACGGTCAGGAAACTGATATATTGATAATCTGGAAACTGTAGCATGGGAATGATTAGACTTTAGAAAGAAGAACTAGTCCAATTTGAACTGATTGCTGGTCTTGATGTGAGCAGACTCGCAGACGTTAACTCGAACAGCGAGGTGAACACAGAAGGTGTGGAGAGAAGTGCACAGCAGCCCACACACAGGGGCTGCAGCGGTAGCCAGCAGGCTCTTGAACATCTGTCATACCTGCCTGCTTCAATCCCATCAAACCCCCCACACACACTCAAACACACACACACTAACACCTTGTGAAGGGTTGTGACAGCTGAACAGCGAACCACAAGCGGGGAAACACATGTTCCTTTCTGGTACGCTTTCCACACAAACAGAAGTGACCACCATCTCTGTTCCATTTCACTTCACATCAAACGCATCTTTCTCCTCCTTCTCCTCTCCAGGTTTAATCCTTCCCTTTTCTTTCTTTATCTTTAGAATCTTTTTGTTTTCCCAGATCCTTTTCTCAGTCCTTTTTCCTTTAAAACATTGTATATTGTCTTTTGCAGCTCAGATTTCTGGCTTTAATTACACTTAAGGTTAGAATTTGTTGGTTGAATCTGAAGAAGACGTCTGCTTCTATGCAAAACACGTGTATGTAGTGGATGTGCTGCAGGTATTATGTAGAAATGCACCTTATTGTCTTTGTTAAGAGGTAAAAAAAAATGTATTTAAATTTTAAAGCTAAGTTTGTCAGAACAAAAATGAGGTTTGTTTGATTTTCATTACAGCTGGAGATTAGATGAAGGACTAAATATGAAACAAAAAAATAAAATAACAAAAAGAACTTAAGAAAAAACAACAGCGCCATCATTAAACTCCTCAAATTCTGTTAGATTACAAACTACAGGCTCCTCTTGGTGCAAATCAGTTAATATTTATTTTCTTCTAATGTATTAAAAAAGAATGGAAAGACATAAGATGCTGATGCTCTGCAACTTGTAGGAAGTTTAGATGTAAAGAAAAAAACTGATATGGGTGGAAATTTATCATGAGTCAAAAGAAGAGAGATTGGATTCTCCAGATGTAATATTTTACCTCCTCATGATTTCAATCCGAACAGGGAAATACTTTCCCTAAAACACACCCTTAATCATAAAAAGTACATTCACATATTTTTGCAGGTCATCGATGCATCGATTATATTTTAAATGTGTTTAAAAAGAAACAGGAGGAGGAGCTAACTGCATGCTAGCGGCAGCAGCTATGATTGCTGATGGCAGCCAACCGCTGGGTAACGCGGCGCCCCGCCGAAGCCCCCAACACACAAATGAGTGGGCTGACAGACCGTCACAGACCTGATGGGCTGTCATTTCATCAAATGAACTGTCACTTGTAGTGTCCTTACACCCCCACTGGGACACTCATTATCAGCCATGATTGCCCCCAACTAACCTCTGACTACTTCTCCTCCTCCAGCCAAAGCACTCAGGCTCCTTCATCTCAGCGGCACCACAATTATCATCATCTGTGATTCACGCTGCTGCTCCCTGGAGGAAATCTTCATCCTTCTTTTTCTTCTTCTCAATCAGTCTGTCAGACTTCTAAGATTTCCGTTTTATCTGCTGCCTAGACATAATCTGTCCTACTTTTACAAACTAAAACAGGGAAAAGGCCGGCCAGTCATCACCACTCACCTGCACATTTGGTTCTGGTAATCAGAGGAGGCCCCGGCGGCCCCGTTCCTCCTTCTCCTGGCCTGGACAGCAGGACCTTGATCTCATACTCCACATCTGGGTCCAGATGCCATAACTTATACGTCGGGGCGTCAACCACATGAGTCTCTGCCCAGTTTCCGGTAGTGGTGCGGTACTCCACCTCCTTTAGGATGATAGGACCATCTCCAATGATGCTGTTGGCGTTGGGTTTGATCCATAGGTAGGTGGCGCCAACAGCAAGGAGCTCTGGGGGAGCGATGGGAGTCGGTGGGGCTGGAAAATGCAATCAAAAGAAAAACTTAAGTTATTTTACAGATTTTCTTTAAAAAACAAAAATATATGTCCATGTTTGTACTGGAGTTTTTTTGGTTTGGCATCAGAGCTGAATAGAAAATAAATCCCCTTTTTGTTTGTCATTTGACCAACTGAATTTATACCATATTAAAGGATAATTCCGGTTTTTAACACTTTTAGCCCATTTTCTGTAGTGTCCAGGATGAAATCGAATGATCGACACCAAAATTTTGACGATT